TTTCTGTAAGCCCTATTATGTCTGGGTCTGAGCTGGCTATTCTGAGGGCGAGTTCCTCCTGTTTTGTTCCCCATACTACGAGCATTGCTATATAGGTATTTAAGGCCTTGCCTAGCTGTGTGTGCCACCCCCCGATTTGGGAGACTGTTTGGACCCCTGTTTCTTACCTGGGCACTCCTAGCATTTGTTAGCTGTCTTGCTCGGGTGGTGTCTCCTCGTCTTCCTGCGGCCCCCTGTACAAATACCCTGGATGATATCCCATGGGCCCTTTGGGTGGGAAGGTGGGCACAGGCCCTTGCTGCATGCACGTGCTTTGTGGCAGTGGTCTCCAAACTTTTTTGATTGTGCACCCCTATCAGTAAAAAAAAGTTTTGAGCACGCACCCCCAATATATGTGGAACTCCCACTCTTCCCTCAGGACACCGCGTACCGTACCTGACACGTGACCGTTTGATATACGGACCGAGTGAGGGCGCCAGTGTCAATCCATATATTAAATATTAGTAAAGCTTAATTTCTTTCTTATTATTTTAGTTAAATATAAATAGAAGCTCTAATATTTTCTTCCCGCACCCCAATGGATCATCTTGTGCACACCCCACTTTGGGGACCACTGCTTTGTGGGATTTGTATGCGAATAGGCTTGGCAGCATTCTCTGCATGTGGGCTGGTAAAACTGCTCACCCAGCAGAGCTGTCTCTCTGGAGGCAGTGGTAAAACTGTGAAATTTAGGTTTTCCTTGCTCTAGATGGGTGGAGGGGTCAATATCTTTGCATGGCTGAGTGAGAGGAAGCAAGTAAGGCCCAGGAGCCTTGAATTTGGCTCCTTTTACTCTGCCTGCTGCATCAGGACACTATTTGGGCGAGTCCCTTAAATTCCATGGGCCTCTCTCTCCATTTCTAGAAAATGGCTAATCACTGATTTATGGAACACGCTTTGTGATTCTCCTTGAGATGCATGGTGAGCAAAGAAAAGGGAAGCATTGTTCCTAAGGGCATCACCTTGTCCTCCTGGGTGAAGGAAAATGTCATGCTAATCCTGCTACTCACGAAGTTGGGTATAAAAGGACTAATATGGTCACTGCCCACAATGAGGGCAGTGTTTTAAAGTCTCTGTCTAATGCAGCCTTGGAGTGCATAGAAGGCACTGATCCACTTCATTGAGTTTGCCACCGTCTCACAGTGTGTGTAAGTGCTTTACAGCACCGAAAAAACAAGGTTCCCACCCCCAAGAGCTTGCTTACTCCCTCGCACAACTCATTTGATGGTAGGAGACCGTAGAGAGGAGGCAAGGGGAGGGATGGAGGCTGGAGCAAAACATCCTGTCACTTTTCTCAGTTTAGTCATGTATGCTCCTCGTTAAGTTCACAGGCTCTTCAGTGCAAGATGCTGACTTGTGCATTGTGGCATTGCAGGCAAAAGTTGGAGGTGGGGAGCCGTTAAGAGTTTCACCATTTTGATTTTTTTTCCTCACTTTTCTGGTGAAATCTAGTTTGGAGCACAGGTAAAACATCATCTGCCCAGAACTATTCTGTAGAAGTGCTGAAACAAAGTGTTACATTATATAGTAAGGCAACACAAATATGTACTGCTTTAAAATACAGACCTCCTGATGTGACCTGCAGGTTCAGCCTGAGCTCGTGGCACTGCAGCATTGGGCATTTGAGGTAAATGCCCCCGATGTCCTTGGTCTCATTAGCAGTTGAAACCAGTGTCAGCCCATGAACTGGGGGGAGTGCAGCTTTCATATCTCTTAGGATGCCTTTTGTGCGCTGCTAGCAGACCACTCCTTGTATGATTTTTGTATTGTGCTCCCTCTGGCTGCTTAGAGATATTAAATTTGCAGCTTGGTTTTGAACAGCATCCCTTATTCTCTTAGCTTAAAACAAATGAATAAACCATTTGAGCCTTTGGAAAGCAACCTTTAAACTGGGGGGAAAAAAATCATGTGTACAAATTTGCTTTGGGGAGGCTGGCAGAGAAGATCCTAATTCCTAACTGCAGTTTTCTTTTGATCTCTGCCAAGAAACGGGAAAGCCCGATAAGCTTAGGCTTTTTTAACTGTCTCCTCCTATGTGCTCAGCTAAGATTGTCCAGATCAGTCTCAACTGGTGTCATTTTTAACAGTGTTCTTGGCCCTTGATCCCATTATGTCTTTTTTTTTTTAATTTGTTCAATCCTTTTTTAGAGGTGATGGCAGACCAGCTGCTTTCAGTAAAAGGTCACGTGGTCTCAGTCATAAGCATGATTAAGTAAATGTTTCTGATGGGCGAAGCCTTCAGAGAGGTGCTGTGTAGTCCCCACGTCACCGAGTCTGGTGGACTACGTTACACCTGCCCGCGCGGTGGTGCTGGGAAATGTGTTTTCTGGAGCTGAAGACTCGGCCGTGCTTTGATTGATTGTAATGTGAAAGTTTTAGGAAGAGAAACTCTTACATAACGTGCAGCAAGGGCCCCACGTTCCCAGCTCCAGATATAACTGCAAATAGCTTTTTGTTTTTTCCTGAGGGAGGAAGCCAACTTGCATGGAGCAGGCCTTATCATCCTCCGCCTGATAATTTATTCATGTTAAAATGCAGGGATGTATTTTGACAGCAGGATCATCGCTGCTGAGATTTAGTCTTTCCTCAGTCAGAAGGGGTTTAATCATGTGTCCTGTCAGGATCCAGCTATTCCATCTCTGCTCAAGGTTTTGTGTTTTAAATCCGTGAGCCAGATTAGACGAGCTTAGCAAAGAGTCAGATGGGCCCAGTGCGGACCTGTGTGAACCATATGGGGTGGGGAAGAGGGAAGAAACTGTTTTGACAATAGTAGTACAGCAGCTGTGGACTTGCCCTCCAGTGAATATTTAAGATTAAATTTTACAAGCCTTCCTCTTGTCCTGATGAGAAAAGTATCACTTATTGCTTAGAAAGTTTTAAGCTGTTCCTAGCAACTGGCCTAATATAATTTGGCAAGTTCTGGGTAATCCTCTGTATTACATTTGGTCTTTACGTAATGTGGAAGGATTGCTTTGGGTGTGTGCAAAGCTTGCTGTACACTTTTTGCATCTGGCTGCTCTGTGCATTTGCTTAATCTGAAGCTTTAAGTCCCAAACTTGGGCTTTTGGAGTTTTTTTTCAAACCTGTAAGGCGCTTGGTGGTGAAATGATTG